AGTTTACACGATAACATATTGTTACTACGTTACACGGTACCGTACTGTTTCCAGTTTACACGATAACATATTGTTACTACGTTACACGGTACCGTACTGTTTCCAATTTACACGATAACATATTGTTACTAAGTAACACGGTACCATATTGTTTCCAATTTACACAGTATCATATCGTTACTAAGTTACACGGTACAATATTGTTTCCAATTTACACGATACCATATTGTTACTAAGGTACACGGTATCATATTGTTTCCAATTTACACGATAACATATCGTTACTAAGTTACACGGTACCATATTGTTTCCAATTTACACAGTATCATATCGTTACTAAGTTACACGGTACAATATTGTTTCCAATTTACACGATACCATATTGTTACTACGTTACACGGTATCATATTGTTACTAAATTACAAGGTACCATATTGTTTCCAATTTACACAGTATCATATTGTTACTAAATTACAAGGTACCATATTGTTTCCAGTTTACACAGTATCATATTGTTACTAAATTACAAGGTACCACACTATCCCTAAGTTACACAGTATAATATATCTTAGCCTTTCATGAAAACAATGAATATATTCTCGCAAAACCTTCAACGTGTGAAAAATGCATATAACCTTCTTAAGAAACTTTTAACCAACGATTAACGAAAGTATAGCCTCAATAATCTCTTCTCCCTGTACTCCCTCATTAGTCTCACTGTATTTCATCTCAAGTGATTGGTTCCAGGAGGTGTACCTTCTACAGTTTTAACAGAACTCTACACCCCTCACTCGTCTCTTCATGAACTATTAGTAAATGAAATCACGTGAACAAAAAACATAAGTTCTGGACAATCATTAAGTAACAAAAAAACAAACAAACACAATCACATGTGATTCACACATTAAATTACTCTTTGCTTTTCAAGTTATAATTTACCATTAAATTCACATTTTCTGACATTAGAAGCTTTCTTTCCTTAAATATTCTTATCTTCAACTTGGATTGTATATATGAGGATAAACTTTTAAATAGAGACATAATATTTATTATTGCCTAGATTACTAAAACGTTTATATGATGTAGAATGTTAGAATTCACTACAAAATTAATGGTCTTTCATTTGATATACAAACATATTTCTATCACTCAAAAACGTTAACAACAACAACAACAACAAATATATATATATTAAAATCACCGATAAACGTACTTCAAATAATTTCTCAAAAACACAAATAACGAGGGTGGATATGGGGGGTGGAGTCCGGACCCTACTTTTGACTAAACATGAAACTTTTTTACAGCACAGAATTAAAAGATCTATGAACAGAATATACTTTTTTATAGCATGAAAATGAAACCAATGGCCACCTGTGGCTAAAATTGAAATAATATCGCCATCAGGCGGTGCGGAGATTTTTTTCTGAATGTTTAGTATTAGGCATAGACAACAGAATAGCCTAAGCCAGTTAGCCCTGGCCAGATCCATAATTTTCAAATCGAGGAACGACAGCCCAGAAAAGCTTAAATGTCTGGTTTATAAACTTTAAACATAAAAATAATGACGTGTTACAATGTTATTAATGGCGGGAAAGGTCGTTTTGAATGCGCCATAATTAGTCAATTAGTATAGTTTGCCCCTAGTTCCCTTGTAGATAGTTTACAGAATTTGTGCACTCGCACAAGATTGGCTGCCTCAAGACTATGGAATATTTTCAAGATAACAACAATAACAATTGAGGCCTAGATGGTAATTAAGTGAGTATAATACGAAGTATTGAGGCCTAGATGGTGATTAAGTGAGTATAATATGGAGTATTGAGGCCTAGATAACGATTAAGTGAGTATAATATGGAGTATTGAGGCCTAGATGGCGATTAAGTGAGTATAATATGGAGTATTGAGGCCTAGATGGCGATTAAGTGAGTATAATATGGCGTATTGGGGCCTAGATGGCGATTAAGTGAGTATAATATGGAGTATTGAGGCCTAGATGGTGATTAAGTGAGTATAATATGGAGTATTGAGGCCTAGATGGTGATTAAGTGAGTATAACATGGAGTATTGAGGCCTAGATGGCGATTAAGTGAGTATAATATGGAGTATTGAGGCCTAGATGGTGATTAAGTGAGTATAATATGGAGTATTAAGGCCTAGATGGCGATTAAGTGAGTATAATATGGAGTGAGCGAACAAATAGTCCACTTCAAGAATTGTAACTAATCGAAAAGGGTTCTGGTCAATAATTTAAATCTTTCGCCGTTATGTTATGGGGTATACCCTCCCACTTTAAGAGAGTCTAGGTCCGACCCCGAATAATGTAGTAAGTGATAATCAGATATTATATCAGAAGTTAAGTTTGATATCATCCTGACGTTTTTCTCAGATTACTCCAGAAAATCGTGATTACCTGGAACTTTGGTTGAAGAGCAGTGACCGGAAGTAGATGATTGGTGTTGTGTTCTAAGTCAAAAATATGATTATAATATATTAAAAATACTTAGGTAACTTATAATACATAACACACACACACACACACACATATATATATATAAATTATTTCTATTAATTATTTTAATCCCATTTTGAACAAATTTGTATAAGTATGTAAATATATTGTTATGTCAGTAAAATTGACGAGTTCTAGAATTATATTTTTTGTTGGGCTTTTCTGTGCAACGCATACTTTGTTTTTCTTGTTTAGAGCAAAGCTACGCAATTGTCTATCTGCGTGGGGCTCATCGCAGGGATCGAGCCCCACATTTTCGCGATATAAGCCATCAAGCTTACCGCTGAGCCCTTCAGAGGGCCATACGCTTTTGACTTAATCTAGTTGCCAGAAAAGCCACTCAAGATAAATATATAACAATTAATTATTTCTACAAATATACTTTCAGTAATATCTTTAGAATTGTCTTTTATAAAATAAACTCATTACACATGCTAACTGAAAATATTCATAATAACAATACGGTCAACATACGAATAGAATACTTAAAAATAAACACGACCTCTTACTGCAGAGCAAAAACTATGTTTAGTTTCACACATGAGCGGGAAATATTTGAAATTCTAAAATCTTCAACACCAACACCAAAAAACTTTTTTTTTTTGGCATCAGATGTAACTATATTAAATATTTTTTCGGGGTATTAAAATGTATCATAAAAAACAACGTAAAGAGTTCTTGGGAGTTGGAAGCCAAAGCGAATCCTTTTGTTTGCCTTTAATTTTGCGAGAACGATGGACCTTCAGCTCCGTAACCCGATACGTCAACCATTGTGCCACACTCTTCCAAGCGTATTCGGTAAAACTATCCTTTTCATTACGTCTGTAAACCTACTGTTAAAGTCAACACTTGATCATTCAGATTACAATATAATTCATTAATGAATCATAGGTTTTAATCCAACAGCTTACTTGTTAATCTCGGTTGATCAGGTAACTAACTGTATAACAAATAATTATCTTAATGTTCAAGTCTGTGTTGAGCGGTATTTGTACCGTAAATTAAAGGTGCTTACGGTGGCTATTTAAGTTCCTCAGACCGAATTGTTTTTGTGATGTGTTAGATGAAATACAGTAAGCCTTTATTCCTGCCTATGATGTAATGGTTGTTCTTGCCTTAATTATCGTGACTTCTGTAAAAGAAGAAAAAGCTATTGCTACCAATATAGCATAATATGTTATTTTAGCTTGTGAAAAACAAAAAACAATCAGAACAGAATTTCTGCTGAGGATATCGACGTTAAGACTAACTCTTTGAATCATAATTTTATAATGTATAGACACAAGTACAGACAGGTAGCGAACATGATCTTTATGTTATTTCAATAAGAGTTATATATCTGTATAAATATAATATTACTGTCTGTTGTATGTATCTATATAAATATAATAGTACAGTCTGTTGTATGTTATCTATATAAATATAATAGTACGGTCTGTTATCTATATAAATATAATAGTACTGTCTGTTGTATGTATCTATATAAATATAACAGTACTATCTGTTGTATGTATCTATATAAATATAACAGTACTGTCTGTTGTATGTATCTATATAAATATAATAGTACAGTCTGTTGTATGTTATCTATATAAATATAACAGTACTGTCTGTTGTATGTAATCTATATAAATATAATAGTACTGTCTATTGTATGTCCATGTAACTATTTCGCAGTGTGTGTGGATGGATCTTTACCAAAATTGGTATGGAGGTTTTATTACGTCCATGCGGGGATATATAAAGATTTTTAGTTTTGCGGTTTTTATGGGCGTTTTTTACCACTACATCGCCCCCCGTTGATGGATCTTCACTAAATTTGGTATGGAGGTTCATTGGATCCATGAGGAGATACATACAAATTTTCAGTTTTGCGATTTTTATTAGCATTTTTGCGTTTTTTACCACTACTTCGCCCCCCTGTTGATGGATCTTCACCAAATTTGGCATAAAGGTTTGTTGGGTCCATGGAGAGATACATTCAAATTTGCGTTTTCACATTTTGTGTTTTGCAGTTTTTATGGGCGTTTTTTACAATTACATATAAGGGAAGCAACTATTCATGTCGTGAGATAACCTTTCATTAATTACGAATTTACATAACTTCCGTCCAGGGGACGGGTACTCCAGCTAGTGTTAATTAAAGTAGGTGAAACTTAAGTTTAAGCGAAGCTTTCGACATAAATAAAATCTTCCCGAAAATCCTTCATAAAATTTTATTCTCACAAACAAATAAAGTTTAGTTTTAAAAATGTTATTTCCTGGATATATATATATATATACAACTTGAAAATATATGCTTGAAAATTACTTGAGTCGGTTCAGCAAGCGTTACGTCATGTACTCACTTGAAATATTATAAAATAATTACCTCTTCCAAGAATGTCTCCCCTGGTGATCATATGAGGAAGTATAACCACTTAACTGGTTATTTCGTAATGCCTTTTTGCTAGAAGTTGACAGACCGCTACTGCCTGAGGATGTTTGGCTGTCTTGTCTAAAGTTTCCAAAATCCTATGGAGAAAAAAAAAAGTGTTTTTTTTTGTTAGTTTGTTTCAAGTGCAAAGCTGCAGAATGGGTTGTCTGAGCTTTGACATCGCAGGGATCGAACTCTAAATCTTAACGCACAAGCTCACTGCTGGAAAAAGCTTTGATGAGAAGTCTCTCTTTCATGTTTCATCATCTTTCTTTCTCACGATCTATTCATTTCAAAGTGACCGAAATGTGTTATACATAAAATATTTCTTTGTGCCAGTCTAGTGTTGTTTCCTCCAGTTATATAAGTCAACTGATCTAAAACTATGTAATTTGCTGAACCTTGACATGACTTGGCGGAAATTAAGAATATAGTGTTGAATGATGTAGCGTTTGCATTTGTTGGAAAAGTTGTAATACGCACAGTTTATCATTTTTGTTTCAGATTATGGCCTTTCTGTTGATGGCCAGATGTAGGCCTAGTTGTTAGCGTGCTGGGCTGCGTATCGGAAGTTCCAAAGTGCGAACCCTAGACCTACTCCTGAATAGCATCCGCACTTTAAGTCGTGGGCTCACTTTAAAGACGACAGTAAATAACTCTAATCGAATAAGAGTAGCCGTGTTGGCGGCGGATGCTGCTGATTGTTTGTTCTCTGAAACTTAGGATCTCTGACATAGCCATTTACCCCATGTGTCGGATAAGATGCCAAATACCTTTCTTGTGAAGGAAATATTCATGTGATAATTTAAAGACAAATATTTCTCGTGAAAATGATGCCTATTTAGGAGTTTTACAAATTACTTGATCTTTGTTTTTCATTTAATTTAGTTTAATGCTATTATTTACCTTCCTCTAATCTATCCTCTTATCCATGGTAGCCCCCCAGTGGCACAGCGGTATGTCTGCGGACTTCAACGCTAGAATCCGGGTTTCGATACCCGTGGTGGGCAGAGCACAGATAGCGCATTGTGTAGCTTTGTGCTTAATTACAAACAAGCTTATTCATGGAACGCCCCCCAGTGGCACAGCGGTATGTCTGTGGACTTACAACGCTAGAATCCGGGTTTCGATACCCGTGGTGGGCAGAGCACGGATAGCCCATTGTGTAGCTTTGTGCTTAATTACAAACAAGCTTATTCATGGAACGCCCCCCAGTGGCACAGCGGTATGTCTATGGACTTATAACGCTAGAATCCGGGATTCGATACCCGTGGTGGGCAGAACACAAATAGCCCATTGTGTAGTTTTGTGCTTAATTATAAACAAACAGACTGAAACTGGTTTAAAATTAATTCCATGAGTATAATATCACTATAAACTGGTTTACGCTGACATTATGTTGTATAAATTAACTTTTTTTTCTTCAGTTTACATTACAAAGGCAGAGTTTTGTATGATGAACAACCAAATGATGCCTTTTTTACGTCCGAGACATAACTTTTGTAAACTAGTGCATGATATATTCAAAATCATGTTTGTTGTAAAATATTTTATATTTCAAACTCAAAATATCATTTATTCGCTTTGATGACATCGTTGTTCGATAACAACAAGTTACAGAACGTACTGTAAACGCAACTGAGTCAAAATCTTGACATGTAGCAGAAGCACATTTTTCATGTTCCGAACACAAACGTTTCGATAAAACATATTTTGTGCTTCACAGTTTCGATATTTTATGTCCATTCATCCTCTATCTGACAACTTTGCATCGTGACAATAATCCTGCAGCGTAGTTTCCTTTGCAAAATGCTCCGTCGTAAGCAGTCATGTCCAAGGCACACCACTTTTCCTACGTGCTTTTCATGTTCCATTTAGTGTATGAAGACGACAGTTTTCCAGTTTCCGTCTCAACAATCCAATCACACACACACACATACAAAAATCTAAAGGCACTGCGTTTAGCGACTTGACCGGTATGGTATATCTCCGTATGGACTAGCACGAATATTCGTTTCATTCTCAGTTGTTTGAGGTAACCAATATGTTATGGAAACATTTGTATACTCGCGATATGTGTCGCTTTTCCAGACAGAGATCCAGATTTATTATGTTGCGTACTGTTGCCGGTGGTACGTGGATGGCTTTTGCGACTTACTATTGGGTTCGTGAATTCTCACCTGTTACAAAAGACACAATTTGCTTACTATAGCGGGGATACGACTTATTGCAGGTCTTTTTCTGAGTGGTTCTGGTCACAAAGTTGATCTATACTCTTTTTTTTTCCCAATGAGATTAAGTAAGGATATTCATGTCTTAGAAATTCTATAACCCCGATCTTAATACATCTTTATGATCTGAGTGTATGAATATTTTGTGTCAGAAGTGGTTGTTACACACCCTTCTCAAAATCGAACAATTTTCATGGCCTCACACTACTTACAAAACGCAAAACAATGTCAAAGTGCATTTCTGATACATTCCAGTCTATCGCGATTTTTAATAATTTTAATATAACATACTGAACTCTTTGTATAAGTTACACAGTCGGACAAACTCTCGTCAACAACGATGTATAAAATGCAACAGATTGCTGAGATGAAATTTATGAAATTAATCAGATTGAAAACTGGGAATCCTATGAATGATTATTTTTAAACAATTATTAATATGTGTTGGATATACAAGACTGTTTAGTGTAAGCATTATTGTTTAGTTTATTTTGTGACTTAATATTTAATGATTGTTTAGTTTCATGACAGGAATGTTGAAGATTGATTGTTTTAAAAGTATTAGTTATGACAAACTTCAATATATAACTCTGTACGAGTCGTACGTTATGTATGCAGTTAGACTATTGTACTAGGTTTTAGTAATATTGTTGGCGTCACGTTACTCGAATCTTCGGTATTTTTCTCGTTACTTTAAATGAGTATTGTTCCATTAAAGCGTCCCGTAGTTTATAGAAAGTTCGAGGCCTCAATGAACAAAGTATATATATATAGGTGACTAGTGAGCGCAAGTTAAGTAGAGAAAAAAGTTAAAAGTGAAGTTCAGTCAGAAACAAAGTTACAAAACGTGATATCTTAAAGTGAGTTTCACAGTTTAACAGAGATAAGGAGAATAATAATAATTTGTTTTGTCAAGGGGTATTCTAAAGTAATTGAACCAATTTGTGTGAACTTTGACGAAAAGGAGACAATTATTTAAAGTTCTGGATACAACTTTGGTAACTCATGGGGTAACATAAGTGAATTATTCACTGATACTATTGTGATAAGAGTAGAGAAAAATAATTCGTCTTACCAATTGGATTCTAAAGTAATTGAATCATCCCGTGTGGACTTTTGACAAGAAAAGAGAGTTATTTAGAGTTTTAGATACAACTGTGATATCCTATAGTGTAAAGAAATTTTGTACATACGTTTCATATCATTGTAGCTCTCTATGTTTCATATTATCCTAGTTCTCAAAACCAGTATGTTTTATATTAGTTTAGTTCTCGAAGTCGGTATGTTTCATATTATCCTAGTTCTCGATGTCACTATGTTTCATATTATCCTAGTTCTCGAAGTTAGTATGTTTCATATTATCACAACAATAAAATATCAGCATCACAAAGACATAAAAGTAAATACAATTATTAAAAGACTCACTTTAGATATTTTAATCAAAGTTCCTGATTTGATTTTTTTGTTATGAAGACGAGGCACAGATTCTGCTTTTTCAGTTCTACCGGGAACTGGATTTTCTACGCCAGTTTTGTTAGTTTCTCCAGACTCGACAGATGTTGCCGTTCTTTTCTTGTTTTCTGATAAAAAATAACAACAAAAAACGTAGTGAACTGTGTTACAAAGTAATTAAAGAAACTACTATGTTGAAAGAAATAGAGATGATATTCGTTTATAGAAATTCAAAATGTTCGGATCGACCATATTGTCGATTTAGAAAACATTTTTCTGTTTACTTCGTTGAAACAATTCTTTAGAAAAAAAAATGTTTTTGTAGAAGTATATTATGCGTATCAGAAATACGTAAATATAAAATGGTAGTACATAAATGTTGTATAACTAACAACTTTAAGAACACTCACTTATTATTCTAATCACGGAGTCACTTTCATTCCTTTACGTGGTTAACAGCATAATATCACATACGAATTAGTTCGAAAATATGCTTTTTTAAGAGTGAAAAGAGCCCCTGTCCACCAGGTCTGAAGTATTATTCTAGCTTGTTACAGCATTATATAAGGATGTTAACATTACGGTTAATTAGCAGGGAGTTCTTTTTCAGACCTTGTACTGAACATGTCCGCCCTTTCAGCTGTGGGAACTTTATGATGTGACGGTCAATCCCACTATTCTTTGGTAAAAGAGTAGCCTGATGGTTGGCGGTGAATGGTGTTGACTAGCTGCCTTTTCCCTAGTCTATCACTTCTAAATTAGGAGTTAATCTCTATTTTTTAACGCTAAAACAAAATTAGTGAGTTATTTTAAAAGTTTGTTTGTGTTTTTTTTTTTTTCTCAGCACTTCCTACAATCCAGTCCGGAAGAGAAAATTCTCAACTAAAGACAGATTCAATAATTATTAATTACAAAACTTTTCCAGAGTTATTTAAAAACTCCAATAAAATAATTACTGTTTTTGTGGTCCACATCTCATAACGCAGCATGGTGTGTTTGGCATGTCTTGATGGTTAGAGCTCTCAAGTCGAAATCTGCAGATCTCGGATTCCTAATAATTTCACCGAACATGCTCGCCCTTTCAGTCACGGGGGCGTTATGATGTGACCATCAATCCCACTTTTTTGTTCGTAAAGTTTGTTTGCTTTTAATTATGCACAAAACTACACAAGGGAAATCTGTGCTTTGCCCACCACGGATATTGAAACCCGGTTTCTAGCGTTGTAAGTCCGCGGACATACCGACGTGCCACTGGAGGGCTGTTGGTAAAGAGTAGCCCGAGAGTTGATGATTGGTTATGTTGACTAGCTGGTTTCCCTCGAATCTATGACTTCTAAATTAGGGACGACTAGCGCAAATGGCCCTCGAGTAGCTTTGCAAATTCAACAAACAAACAATTACATAGCCTGAACTTTTTAACCTAAGGTTATATTGTTTTCATAGAAGCATTCATTTGTTTCGACAGTTGCACGTGTATACGAACTGAATAAAAAAACTTTATACGGATATAAATAATATGGACATATCATAGATGGAGACGATTCACAAGTGTAATACAGATATAAATAACGTGGATATATCATAGATGGAGACGATTCACAAGTGTAATACAGATATAAATAACGTGGATATATCATAGATGGAGACGATTCACAAGTGTAATA